GGTCAGTTTGTCAAGAAGCCATACAATCATAAACGTGTATATACCAACAGAAAACTTTGAAATAAATAAAGCAAAAATGCCCCCAAAAATGGGGAAAAGAAAAAAACCTGCAATTTAGTTGAATAATTCAAAACTCCTGTTTTGGTAATTGACAGAACAAGCAAACCTTACCATCACTACCAACCAACTTAACTTGGCTGACGTTTATAAAACACTCCACCCAATGACAGCCGGCTACACATTCTATTCAAGTGAACATGGAACATCCACTAAAACACCATTCTGGGACACAAAACAAGCCTTGGTAAATTAAACAAACAAACAAAAGAAATAATGAAATTAAATTAGAAATCAACAACAGAAAAACACTTGGGAAATCCTCAAATATATGGAATCTAATACACTTCTAAATAACCCATGTAACAAGGAAGACATCACAAAGGAAATTAAAAATATTTTAAATTGGGCCGGGCTTGGTGGCTCACGCTTATAATCCTGGGAGGAGGAACTTGGGAGGTCTAGGTGGGTGGATCACCTGAGGTCAGGAGTTAGAGCAGCCTGGCCAACACGGTGAAAACCTGTCTCTACTAAAAACACAAAATTAGCTGGGCATGGTGGCATGTGCCTGTAATCCCAGCTACTTGGGAGGCTGAGGTAGGAGAATCACTTGAACTCGGCAGGCGGAGGTTGCAGTGGGCCAGGATTGCGCCACTGCACTCCAGCCTGAGCAACAGAGTGAGACTCCGTCTCAAAAAAAAAAACAAACAAAAAAAGGTATTTTAAACTAAATGCAAACGAAACCCCAACATATCAAAATTTATGAGATGTAAAAAAAGCAACACTCAAAAGTTTTTAGCTTTAGATTAAAAAAAAAAAAGGGAGGCTCAAATCAATAACCTAAGTTTCTACCTGAAGAATCTGAGGAGCAGGGGAAGTCAAGCACACTGGCTCACACCTGTAATCCCAGTACTTTGGGAGGCCAGGGTGGGAGGGTCATTTAAGCCCAAGAGTTCAAGGCTTGTACCAGTGTACTCCAGAGAGACCATGTCTCAAACAAAAGATACGGACGGAAAGCTCAAACCAAAAATCTAATTGAAGGCTGGGTGTGGTGGCTCATGCCTGTAATCACAGCACTTTGGGAGGCCGAGGCAGGCGGATCACCTGAGATCAAAAGACCAGCCTGGCCAACATGGTGAAATCCCGTCTCGACTAAAAATACAAAAAATTAGCCCGACGTGGTGGTGGGTGCCTGTAATCCCAGCTACTTGACAGGCTGAGACAGGAGAACAGCTTGAACCTGGGAGGTGGAGGTTGCAGTGAGCCAAGATCGTGCCACTGTACTCCAGCCTGGGCGACAGAGTGAGACTCTGCCAAA